GCTTTTCTTTGCAAGCTCCTTTGACTACGATGACCTGGATGACTGAGAACCTTCACAGACACATCATTTATCTGGGCTGTTATTTTTACTGTAGGAAAAACCAACAGATGCCTTGCCAGCCTCAGATAATTTCCTCTTCCTGATCAAATAATTTAATCGATAATCAGATAAACTTGATGGCGGCCAAAGAACCTCAACTTGACCTTAATTGCCAGACTGCTGCCAACAGTTTTTGAACAACTGTTGTTGTGTGTAACACAGAGGAAGACCGGGGAGAGGGGGGGGGGGTTTCTGAAGGACACCGACGCCATGTCTGCTCTTCACATTACAGATGAGATCATAGCTTTGAACGCTCATATAGGCTGGACAGCCAAACATACTTCACACCGTCAAACACTCGCTCTAGCTGAATGTGAACCGAAGAATGAGGACAATCAAAGCAACACACTAAAAACCAACTTACTGAACAGCATCAGTGAAGTGATGTTATTTTTATCTGCAGCCTATTACTAAACTTATATATTATATTTATTTTACTGAGAATTTATTTGTGGTTCATGATCCATTGTGGTTCTGCTTAAACCCATCATAGTAACACATCAGAATGGAGAAGTCTTCTTTTGGATGGAATTCACACACACACACACACACACACACACAGATACATACATATGTACATGCCCACAAATATCGGTGTAGTGCAAAACCAGATGATCAGCAGCTGGAGAATTTTGGAGCATTTTGTTTGACCGCCGGTGGCTTGAAGGTAGAGTTGCCACTGTACTGATGAGCTCATAGCCCATTCTGAGGTACCACTTGGCCCGAGCGGGGACTGTGCTCACCAAACACAGCTAAACAGCTAAATAAAGCCACATATTTATGGTATACACAGAAAGGACGGCCTGAAAGCTACTCCAGAAAAGCGATGAATGACCGTTTCGCACATGACGGCGTCGTAAATGTCTTAATTGGCTTAATTTCAGTTATGACGTCTACCCCACAGCCTGGGTCAAACAGCACCAACCAAATGACACAGACCCCCTAAATAGACCAAAGTTCACTTTCCAAGCGCTCTAAACATAGTTTGACCTTTTAAGGAGGATATAGCATATCAGGTTTCCACGATATAAACAAGGAAGGAAAATTATCCTGTTGGAAGATTAAAAAGCGGCGATAGTACGGAGTTAAACGAGCTGGAGCCCAAACAGCCAAAGTTAACAGCAGGTAGTAAAAACATGCGTATTGCCGCTACCGGTGCAGACACATGCGGGGGCTTTCTTACCTCGGTAAACGTTTCCACACCACTGTCCTTAAACCTGAGAGAGGACTCACTGAAGCGGGAAGAGCGCGACCCCCGAAACTCCACTGAGGAGAAGAAGCGCGAGGCAAGACTGCAACAGGTGACACCGCGCGCTCACGAGCAGCACGCGGAGTGACGTGACCGCGCACGTCTGGCAGATTGGTTTAGTTTTTCCGAAAGCTCAGCATCGTTACACGTAGTACACACATGTTATTTCTATTTACTGCGTAAATTTAAATATGTTTCCCCCGAAAGTAGAAATTGTTTTCTGATCAATTATCAAACATACTTCTGGCTTGTTCTTAGAAGTATGGAGTATCGAGTCGACTGTACGGTGTCAGGTGAGAGAGATAATGCAATAATATAACAGCGACCTCATCTGGATAAAAGTAGAACTACAAATGCGTAAAGGAAATATCCATTACCATACAGTATAAAACAAACTAAAGTTCATAAATAAAAAAGGGTATTTTTTATACAAAACAGGGATGTAGAGTCATACACATCGAATAGTGCCATAAAACCACAAATACATATCAGTGTGCATAAACAGTGACATCAGAGTTATGTAATATTTGTACTGTGCTGTGAAAAGTGTTTGCCCACTTCCTGATTTCTTAGGTTTTTGAATATTTGCCTGGAAATGGTTAAAAGGCCATTTCTAAGATTTTGGGACTGCAGCAGTAGAATGACATTTTGCAACAGTGTGAGTTCTGTTACATCTGGAATAAATCTAACACAGCATTTCATAAAATGATGATCCAACAGTCAAACATGGTGAGATGGTCTGGGGCTGCTCTGCTGCTTTTGAGACTTGCTGTAATCCTTCAGGATGTCAGTTTGTACCTTGAACTTCAAGATGAGCTTAAATAGTCCATCCATCATCAAACACCCTCCTGTGAAGCCAAATGAAAACAACTCTGCATAGAAGAGTGGGCCAAAATGTATCCTCGGTGAGACTCATTGTGAGTTATCACAAAAGCTTGGTTGCAGTTTTTACTGTCAGTGGTGGCACAAGCTGTTATTAGCTTCAGGAGGCAATTATTTGTTCACACAGAAAAAGTAAGTGCATTTTGTATTTACTCAGGTTATCCTTGCCTAATATTTAAAATTCTTTGATGATCTGAAACATGTAAGTGTGATAAACATGCAAAAGCACTGCACTGCACTGTAGATACTGTTGGATGTTCATGAGACCATCATGCACTCACTCTGCAACAGAGATGTCATCTTCTACAGCGCTGTCAGGCCACTCAGGAGGAGGGAGGTTGATACTGTCTGACAGCCCTGGAGGAAAGTCTCTGCTGCTTGCTCTGCAGGACAAAGTCTCTTGTTGGGACATGGCCTCTTTATCTTGCCTGATAGAAACAGCTTCCTGATGAATGGCCTCGGCCTCCAACTGCTCGTCCAGGTCTGCGTGTGGGGTGTAAAGTAACAGAGTCACTATGTGAACTTTTAACTGGAAAACATTGTGGTATGTACAACTGGACTTCCCACCGTCATAAACTTCCAGCATGGCTGAGCAGGAGACAGTGCCGAAAGCGTTGTGGACCACACACTTAAACAGGCCAGAGTCTTCGGGAAAGGCCTCAGTGATAACCAGCGTACACAGCTCCTCTGCAGGGGTTAACACAGCATCGGTAATCAAGACGCCAGGGCTGCAGTTTCACACATGATCAAAGACGCACTGCTCCTGGTTGTTATAGAAACACACCCCTATTATCAAATCAAACGGACCATATCAATTAAAGATGGAGGCCTTTTACGGTCTTAGACCAGTAGCACTGTTGTATAACAACATGTAAAATTGTCAGTGTTTCACTTTCTTTTAGTGGAAAGAACTTTCCCCTCTCATCACAGAGAGCTACTGCGATCGCAAGACGCCTCTTTGGTTTAACTACCTCACTTCGATCAGTACAGGAAGCCCTGACTTTACCATTAAGAAGACTTAAAAACTGATGATTCAGACATGAGGCTCAAATTAATAGCTCAGTGACTCTGGTCATGTGATCCATGCTCCATCCTCTATAAGCTCGATACCATAAACCATCCAGGGCACATGTTTCTTCTCTGATCTTACAGGCTTTGGAAAGTTATTCACCTGCAGAGGGGAACATGGATTCTCTCGACACATAAGTAACTACACAGCTGGGTAATGAGTGCTGATTGTGAAAATGAACATTTCTCCAGTATTTACATCTTTTATCCACTTGGAGCCACCAGTGTGCTGAAGTGCTGAGTGTTCTCACTCTTACTCAAGCCAACAACTTCTACTCATCCACATTTCCCAGTCACGAATAAAAAACAAAACAAAACAAAGAAAATTAAAATAACAACACAGAAACATCACTTTTAGTAATTTCAGAGACTTTGTTTTTTTGTTTTTTGTATCTTACAATGTCGAGTAGGTTTGACACTTTGGGGAAATGGCTTCTCTTTGAGTTTGAATGTAATTAACATCAGGTACTCACCCGGCACTGATGCAGAACTGGCCTCTGGAAGAATAAGCAAAGAGATGAGATCATTTCTGGAGAATTTACATGGTAATAATATTTTCACAGTTGTATATATTGAATTCTGTTTCTGGATAGAAAACATCTAAGCGCCTCTAATCTGACCCGTGTGAGCTCTTAACCGTGGGATAAAAAGATGTTTGAGTGCAGGGTGTGGATCTTTACACACTCTTCAGAGGTGAGATCGAGGAGTGTATTTCTGCTTAATCCTTCATCCAAACCGGCTATTATAGTTTAATAAAGTTTCTAATTAGCTTTGATTTTGATTTTTTTGTATCCAGTTTAGTTGCAGTTAGTTTCCAGAGTAGCTTTTCCTATGTCAGTTTAGTTTTTATTGTTTGAAAATGTTTAATTTTGTTTCTACTAGTTTCAGTCTTTTTTTTTTTTTAATGATTATTAAGGTCGCCTATGCAGTAGCACACTTCTTATTATTCGTCGGATTTATTCTTCCCAGCCCCAGTCTGAAATTTCTTCTGCTGC